TTCTTATGCATAGGATCAATTATTGTTTCCATTCAAAAGAATATTTTTTACTAACCCGTGAATATTGTTTCGTCATTATCCCCCCTTATTTATTACAGCCACCAGCTAAGGTAAAAGTCTATCAAATCAAATTTATTAAAATTTTATGAATGACAACGTTGACAAATTTATCTTTTAAACAAGCACCTTACTAAAGTATTTTTGGCTGTTTTTCCATTTGGAATCTATAACTTACTTTTTTTCAAAGAAACTTGTACAGGATATTGTAATAATATTTACAAATCTATTTTATAAATACGAGAGGTGAGACATTTCTCATAGCCACATGAGAATCACATAAAAATGGAACAAAAATACTTTAAAATCTGCAACAGCGTGGACTGGACATGGCTTCTGGACTCACAGCACATTTATTGGCGATATTAGACAAATTAACGGCACCTAACCTTCATCAAATATGGGTATAAATTTTTTTTTCTGGGATTAGCAAGTATTTTATATATTTTTATATATATTTATTGTATATCACTGAGTGTTCGAAGTGTTTTCAGAGCGCGAGCATTGAAGATGCCAAGTGAGACCTTGGCGAAACGTCTGCAGGATTCCAGTCGGAGTTCAACAAATGAACGGATGATATCCGGGAGTATAGTATCACGTCATTCAAACGAAACATCTATTTGTCCTTTTCTATTTGAAACGAACGCCGTTTGGGATGTTCCATAGTTTGAATGGGATGTTTTCCGAGACTTTACCTCACGACTTGAGTTTATATATATACTCGTTACCACACTTATTGCATAATATATTATTTTCCTAAAGTATCATTCTTACAATTTATTCATCGAATTATGCATCTAAATCATTCAAACAAAGCAAAAATTCACGATAATTCGTCGCATACTGTAATTTAGAACAATAAGATTCCGCTTACACGTCTGCTTCGGCACGAGAGGCACCAAGCGAGTGATTGTATTGGCCGCATGTGTCGGTTTCTCTGTTCTTTATCCAACAATGGAATATCGAAAACTGCGTTATCGGAGCCGAACGAACGGAGGGTGGTCCTATTCAATTCCACATAAACACACCCTAAATTTGTGTGCCTACTATTACGTCGTTATAACACCAGTGGCGTCAATGGACTTGTTCCGTTTCTTTTCAGTATGAGTTTCGGAGATTAAGAGGCCCCCAGACAACGACGCGTTTCATATTAAAAATTGATACAGGATGTGATCAGGGCGGCTCAGGCAATCCTAACAGGACAAGGGATTACCGTAACGGAAATAGATATTATTAACAATACAAATATTGAATCCTTAACTTTGATTAGAAATTGTGTCAGTATATTGTTTGTTTTACTGTTTTATTTATTTTAAGAATAGTATATTATACAACAAGTGCGATAACCGGCATTTGACTCACGAGTTTATTTGACACGAGCGGAGCGAGTGACTTAAAAATTTTACCGAACGTGTTGCATACTCTTGTTCTACGACCGTTAGTTTTTGGATATTTTTTCGCAAAACAATACGAATACATTCACTGACATGACGATCAAAATTGACAAACGTCAAAATTCAAAGCGTGGGAAATATCTCCGACAACATCCGAAATGTGCGAAGTGGTTCGAATCCGTGAGAAACGACAGTGACCTCCTATTTTCGGTTATAATTCTATAAAAAAGATAGGGTGAAACCGTACTCTTTTTTGGTCAGTTAAATATCAAAATCATTATATATTATGAAGAGTAGGATAAAATTACCGACGTTCATTGGTGGAAATGCTGTTGAGAAATATTTTCTCCGTATTTCATTTCTATTCCCCGATTTCAGGAATGCGGGCTTTTGGTAAGTTGGTTGGTTACGGACTATTTTTTTTTCCTTTTTTTTCCAATAATTATTAATAACACTTATATCACTAAGGCGCTAAATTCAACTAACGATTGGTCATAAGAATTGTGTTGCGGACTTTTGGGCAACTATAAAACGGATAGTAATACCTGAATTTGTAAAAAGACAACGGCAAAATCGACTAAGTTAGTAATTTTAAATGGTTTCGGTTTTTGCCGGGTTTCAGCGCGCATGTATTATATTCATTTTAATAAAAATATTACGTTATAATGCAATTTTATCAAATTGGATTACAAGTAAATCACGGTGTATAAGATTTCTTGAGTATCGATTAAATCGAACCCCGATAAGTGCATTTCCTTCGGTCATAGTTAGTGTAAGACGACTTGTGGCCAATTTCATCGTCTTGTACGCCCACGCACGACTCGAATTCGACTTTGTTTAAAATGTAACTTTGTTTAGTGGGGGAGTAATAGTCTATCGGTGGAAAATAGTCGACGGACTGTTTTTGTAAAGGAGTAAAGGTCAGTTTTGGTTGTTTTTTCACTTTGCCAGCATTTTTTCTTTTCGTAATACGTTCATTAAATATAATATATAAGTACCGTGAGTGGTAATTAGTATTTTTATTTGCTGATTTTTGGTAAGCCGTTGCGATATAGTTATTGTGGTTAAAAAAAATGAAACTTTATTACCATAAGGTGATATTAAAAATTAGATTTAGTTAGAACGTTGCATATATATTTTATTATTTTTGTTAAAACTAGTTTTAATTTTCTTCCCGAACCGTTAATACATCTTTTTTTAAAAAAACAACATATTCCTAACAATATTCTTTAAAATGTTTGATAAGTGGGACAAACATTGAATATCAAATAATTCTAAAGTTATAAATTTGTTTATGTATTCAAGAAGTGAGACATTTACCTTGTGGTGTAATTTTACGCATTTCATTGTTTTCCGTTATGTCATGGCCTTTCCATATTGTCGAGCAGTGAGTCAAGTTTTTTATCCAAATGTAGACTTTCATTGTCTTTCTTTTTCCCTTATTCTATAAGAGTTTAGCTTAGCCATTGTTTTTCCCTTTCCTACTGTGTGGAGAATATATTTTTCGTCACTTCCACCTTATGTCGACGTAACTCCCAAATACTATTCCATTCTGTCTTGTATTGTTTGCCTATCTTGCAAAACTCCTATTCTATCTATCCTAATATTGTCATATAAGTATATTGGGTTTTTCGCTGGTACATATTTAGCCCTTATTTATTATTTCCTCCTCCCGTTTCCTTGTCATGTATTTAGATGGCATAAATCTTAATTTTTGTCCAGAGTGATCTAATCGTTAGCAAAAAATTATGTACCTTTCCGATTTGAATTCGAATTATGTAGAATTAGTTATTCAATATTCAATGCAATTCAGTCTCACGCATTGAAAAAAGTTTTTTGACAATAAGGAAATAATTTCTCGGAATAGTCAAAGTTATATCATTGAAATAATATGTATTTCTTTATCGCCATTTTTTTCAAAGTTGTTTCAATTAACTTTAAGGGATTTTGTTGATAAGGGTGACAATGAATAATTACCTATGATTCAAGTGGGAAGCATAATATAAAGAAAAGATAAGTGGCATAAAAATATGGATAAATAACAAAAAGATTAATAGCCTAATACAAGAAGATAGATATGGGGAAAGAGTTGATGACTTCATTCAAACAGATTCTAAAATTCAAAATATTTAAGTATGCGTCATTAATTAAGAAAATGCTGACATTATTAATTTAATGCAAAAACCGCATCCTTTGTCTATTGTTAGTTATCAGAAAAAAAATGATTATGTGGGCGATTATAGTATGGACGAACTGTAGTTTTTACGTGTCAAACCGTATTGTTTCCGAGAAAAAAAAGTAAAATATGTTTGCCACTTTAAATTAAATCAAACATAATTTTAAAGAATTGATTTTCATTTTCTTGAAGAAATTGTTATGTATTTTTAAAATTATTTTTCCAATATGTGCCTTATTTGTTGATTATTCAATAAATAATAATTAATATTTTCTTCAAAGTTTTGACGTATCAAAATTATTCAAATTCAATACTTCAGCCGGTAATCAGGTAGGAATGTTGCTAAGAATTCGGTCTGTATAATAATCGTCATTATCTAAAGCATTTCACCAAATCCTCAAATATTATTTGTTATTAATATTTCCTGGAATACCTGTACGATACCTGCTGATTAAAAAGTAACTAGGTATTTCAATTAGTGACCAGACGATTTCATATCCCAGGTAATTAAATATCTATCATACTCACCGAGGGTGGTTTTTGTCATTAATCCACAAGACTGTAAGACTTCTTTTCTATTTCGTTTCGGTAATCCCCCTACAGGGTTTTCTGATTGCCACGAAAAATCGACATACAATAATTTTAGCACAAAAATAGAAATATGTTTCAGTAAACTCTTTTTAAGTTACAGTCCCTATATGAATTTTTAAATATATTATTCTACGTCACTAAATTGTGCAAATTTTGCTCTTTTCCATGATATGTCACAATGGCTAATTTTTGTTTGCTTAAGGTTTAGAAAACAAACGATAGTATAGATTTTATTGTGCACACCAATGAACTGTACCTAGAAACATTCATCAAAAGCCCTTTTGTCACAAGAGACTATCGAAATATAGGATATCCTTGAAAACGCACTTGCTTGACTTCGAAAGCCTTTGGAAAAATTGGTATAATAATACTAATAGTAGAAATGAGGTTCTTCAATTATTCTCATGATATTGGCGCGGCCTTAGAATGCACTGTACGGGGAGTGCAAAATAAGGTTCCTCATACCTTAACTCAAAAACTACGAACTATAGAAAAAAACATACAAAGTCTAGATAAAACTGCAGCTTTCTCATTTAACTTGTTTCGTATCCTATATACATATTCCAAAATATGAAAAATATTGTCCCTAGAGGCAGTCTTTCAATGAGCGGGCTATTTCTTTAAATACTAACTTTGCAGTTTCTCTGGCATTGTGTGATCCGATAAGAATATCATAATATTAAAGGAGGGTAATGTCTTGTTTTGAGTTTCAGCAATTTTACTTCAAAATATTTTTAGTTTAGATTTAGTGTTTTTAGATCCGTTCTTTTTGGATATTGCAGTCTCACAATGAGGAAGACATGAGCGACGGGGAGGGCCATTCCGGGGGTGAACACGACGATGCTGATAGTTGCGATGAAATGCGACGTCATGGGATTCTAACCGATCACAACGATGTCCTTACGAAGCTTAAAATGCAAGTACGGGATATTAACATGAGGGTAAGCAATCCTTGGTTCAGCTCTAATAAGGTAAATTTATACATGCTGATGGACGAACTGTTACTATTGCGTATTTTTTGGGTGCGGTTGATACATTTTAAGAGTCCTTTTATTATACATTAAATTTACATCTTTTTATGTCTGGTCGAATAATCCTAGGAGTCGTGCTGGAATGGCAGTGGAAAAAGGATTACGTGAGTCCACAACATCCAGTAAAATTCAGATGTAACGCTTCGCTACAACAACATACAAAGCTATGTATTAATCTACTCTGTATAACGAATTTCTCACTCTCTATACTGAAAGAAAAAAGGGCACATGAGGTAACACTTGTAATTAATAGAACCTTCTCAGAATTCCTTACCCTAATAATCTAATTACCGAGAACCTGGTCGTCCTAAGTATTTTTCTCGTAATAAGCGATTATGCTAAAAGCGGTATGTATAAAAGCACACCATTGTTTCAATCAGTTCTAATTTGACTTAGTGAATACGACGAGCATGGCGAGTAAACGAAAAATTTTATCTCTAGATGATAAAGTTGCTTTAATTCGGGAGATAGAAGGGGGAAAAAAGAAGTGATGTGGGACGTCGATACGGCCTTACACTGTCGACTGTATCCACGATTTGAAAGGGCAAAGAAAAAATCATTCAGGCTCAAGCGGCAGGCAGTTATAGTACAAAACTAAGAAAACCAAAATTTGAAGATTTGTTGTTCCAACAGCAACCTCTTAAAATTGTACCACTCTCTGGACCTATCGTAAAACTAAAAGCAGAAAAGTTTGCTGAACAGCTTGGCATTATCGATTTTAAAGCGTCGGCAGGATGGTTGGGAAAGTTCAGAGACATGGTATAAATTATGGACAGATAAGTGGCGAAACCCGTGATGTCAACAGAAACGTCACTAACGATTGGCTGGAGAAGACGTGGCCAAAACTAGCAGAAAAGTACCCTGCTGACGATATTTTTAATGCTGACAAAACTGGTATTTTTTGCAAAATGACGTCAGATAAAACGCTTAAATCTCGAAGCGAAAAGTGTGTGGGTGGAAAACGTAAAGAACGTATAACAGTGTTAGTAGCTGCCAATTTGAGTGGGAGAGAAAAAAGAAAGCTAGTCAATTAACCCACAATGTTTTAAGAACATCAAACATTTGCCGGTCACTTACAAGGCAAACAAGTCTGCATGTATGACATCGCAAATTTTTGAAGAGGAGATACGGAAATGAGATGCAGAATTAAAGGGGAGGAAATTATTACTTCTCTTAGATAACTGCCCTGCATTGGCATTTCTTCCAGCCAAAACAACAATTGTATTAAAAGTCTTAAGCGTCGATACAGGAAAAAAGTTTTAATGAAAATGATCAAGTCCGAAGACAAATTTTCCATTAATATGCTAGGTGCAGTCAACTTTGTTGGTAAAGCTTGGAAAGAGGTGACAGCAGAAACAAGGCCACTAAGCGAGTGGATAAAGCAAATTCAAACAACAATTACGTTTACAAGTGAGGAGTTGCAAGGTTTTATGGTGATAAATCAGGATTTGCCTACAACAGTAGACTTGACGGAGGAAGCCATATTGCAACAAGCAAGAAAGGGTGAGGAAGAGAACCAAGAGGAAGAGGAAGATGAAGAAGTTGAGCTAGGACCACCACCAACCATTCAACAAGCCCTATATTCAGTTAAGTTGCTATTGAAATTTTTTATGTATCAAGGGGAAGATGTCCCTCTCGAAGAAATGGTGAAAACACAAGCCAAAGTAGGAGATGCGTATTGACATACTTAAAAAATTTAAAAGAAAATGACCGATTATGTTGATGTTGAAACAACTTATAAAATTTGAAGAATAGTAGATCTTCCTATTGCAAAATGCCGACTCATCAAGTCCCGTATACCGTTCGACTAACACGACTAACTGTGAGATATAGTAACTGTTATAAATGAAAGCAAATATTTGCCAAAGGAGTTTGCGTGAAATGAATTAATAACGTAATAATTTACGACAGTTTAGAGTTCGGTTACGCTGATTTTAAGAAACTGTCGTACGCAATTTTTAAAATTCAGAAAATAAATAGAATATTTAAAACGTTTGCTATTAATCAACCGTATTATTGTAATGTTCAATACGATAACGAGGCATTGTTCTTTCGTTTTAATTCAGAGTACCATGTACGTAAGTAGGATAAAACATTGTTACTCTCCGTACATCATTGATCAAAGCTTTTATTTCATTCCCTATTTCATTCACATGGAGCATACCAGGTGGAAGCATTACGAAACTGTAAATTTAGTAAAAAAAGTCACTTGTTCAAGTGGAAGAGTAAATAACTGGGGTACAAGGGCTAAAGTATTTCAGCGGAATTCAAGGAATTTCAAAATATTTTAGGGCATTTATAAGGAATTTCAAAAATATCCGACAATCATTGGGATACGAGGGCGAGGAATTCCAAGGGAGTTCAAACTATTTAAGAATATATTTGGGTATTTTTAGGGAATTTCAAAGATATCTGAGGAATAAATAAAACAAATCGTTCATAATTGTCAAAAATTGAGGATTTAAACACACTCACAAGATCTTAAAAAATATTATTATTAAGTGAGTTTCGCCCACACGGGCATCATAAGACCCATCAGATAATTTTTAATTAATACGCACATTCGAAAACGTAAATTCTAACGTCCACCTTTTCTCAAATATCGTTGTCGCCAGCAGATTAATTTCCTCTTTCAGTATTAAAAGTGATTTTCTGTTTTGAGTTTTTTCTTTCAGTTTTTTTTATTTAAAACAATGTGTGTGTGTGTGTGTGTTTTTTTAATAAAACGAGTGTATAGCAGTATTTTCATCCTCATTTATTAGCTTTTTCTCTTTCTGTAATTCTGTTTGGTGACCGGATGGTGACGCGTTTACAATCGTGCATTAGTCTGTATATTGTTGACTGGCAACTCCAGTTATATTCGAACACATTTGAACTATTTTTGCAACAACGGTGGGTTTTGGTAGCGAGTTTTGCCAATAACTGAAAAGAAATAATTATTAATCTAATTTTAAACACTAATGCACAAGCAAAATTAACTCTCGGTGGTCTATTTGCCACTCTCTTGACCTTTGACAATCATCATAGGTACAATACTACGCCTAAGTTTTACGCCTCGGACATCATCTTTTTATGTCCCAAATGACTAATCGCCATCCAAACTTAATCAACATCACCCTGTATAACCCGCAGACGGATCAAACTATTACTAGCTCATCCAAGTTGTTAAACTGTGTATTCGCAATTCATAAATTTACGTGAACTCGCGATGAGGTGGGTAGACTTTGACTGAAATAAATAATCTAATGGCGGAATTAATAATCGAGGCTCGTTGTCTCGAACGAAATGACTGCATAAATTAATATCTGTCTTACATCGAATATGGGATTGACGATAAAACACGCAGATCTCGATAAGTGGGTCTGCCTAACCGAAAGATCGACCAGATGATATTGCCGACCACGATGTGATGGTTGACAAGCAAAGTAACAAATCCAAATAAAAGAAAAATAGAGAATTTGACAATTACGTTTTGATTATAATCTTAGATTATAATTTTTGTTGTTTCTTTTACTCCGTTCCTTTCCTAGTTTATCAGTTGCTTACCAATATTACTTTTTTGCCAAAATTTTTCGTAACCTGCCTGGCAAAACGCATGGCTAGAAGTTTGACCTAATTTTAAGACAAACATTGAAAATAATAGTAATAATAATAAGAAGGAAACACCTTATTACTCTCGCAAACAGATGAAATAGATTTTTTGCGAAAATAAACGCGTTCGTTCCTAAACTCGATATCCCGGTAACGGTAGGTCCTAGAGTAAATAAATTTTAGAAAAAAAAAATAACAAAAAATAAAAACTTTAGTTGGTGTTTTCCAGTTGCTTGAATTTTGAAGGAATAGTTTACTTTCAATTAGTTACAATATTTCTTTATATATATATATATATATATATATATATATATATATATATATATATATGTATATATATGTATATATATATATATATATATATATATATATATATATATATATATATATATATATATATATATATATATATTTATTTTTTGTTATTTTTTTTTTCTAAAATTTATTTACTCTAGGACCTACCGTTACCGGGATATCGAGTTTAGGAACGAACGCGTTTATTTTCGCAAAAAATCTATTTCATCTGTTTGCGAGAGTAATAAGGTGTTTCCTTCTTATTATTATTACTATTATTTTCAATGTTTGTCTTAAAATTAGGTCAAACTTCTAGCCATGCGTTTTGCCAGGCAGGTTACGAAAAATTTTGGCAAAAAAGTAATATTGGTAAGCAACTGATAAACTATGAAAGGAACGGAGTAAAAGAAACAACAAAAATTATAATCTAAGATTATAATCAAAACATAATTGTCAAATTCTCTATTTTTCTTTTATTTGGATTTGTTACTTTGCTTGTCAACCATCACATCGTGGTCGGCAATATCATCTGGTCGATCTTTCGGTTAGGCAGACCCACTTATCGAGATCTGCGTGTTTTATCGTCAATCCCATATTCGATGTAAGACAGATATTAATTTATGCAGTCATTTCGTTCGAGACGAGCCTCGATTATTAATTCCGCCATTAGATTATTTATTTCAGTCAAAGTCTACTCACCTCATCGCGAGTTCACGTAAATTTATGAATTGCGAATACACAGTTTAACAACTTGGATGAGCTAGTAATAGTTTGATCCGTCTGCGGGTTATACAGGGTGATGTTGATTAAGTTTGGATGGCGATTAGTCATTTGGGACATAAAAAGATGATGTCCGAGGCGTAAAACTTAGGCGTAGTATTGTACCTATGATGATTGTCAAAGGTCAAGAGAGTGGCAAATAGACCACCGAGAGTTAATTTTGCTTGTGCATTAGTGTTTAAAATTAGATTAATAATTATTTCTTTTCAGTTATTGGCAAAACTCGCTACCAAAACCAAAATTTTTATTTTTACCAAAGTTTGTCATGATTTTGATTTTCTGCGACGGTGAGAAAGCAATATTGTTAAGTGAAAGCAATATTGTTATATATACCAAATATTACTAGAACGTAGTTTTCCAATCGGCACATCGACTTGAAACTAGGTGATAATTCTACTCTTTCCTTTTGTTTAAGTTTGTGTTTTTTAAATCAATTAATACATAAATTATTGAATTTCTTTATTGTATAAATATATAAATTAATTTATTTACTTAATAATAATATACGGTTTGAATTTTGAAGCAAAATGGTAACTCTTGGTATCTTAAACAACTTAATTAATTAAAGCCATATACTGGTGGTGGTGAAAAGTTTTGAGACGCCGGTAGGGGGCCCCGTATTACCAAACTCTTTTCATGCCACTTAGATAACATGTTATTAAACTGCCTACGCATCTTTCAGCAAGCACAACCTCAACCCAACAAAATTTATTAAAACTAATCAAGCGTGCGGATCAATGTTAATCCTAAATATTCAGAGCTGGGTTGATCTTCCTGTCTTTGGTTATATTTATTAAAAAAATATTCTAAATATAAAATGATCATCAACCATGGTCTATTTTGAACTGGAACATTGACAACTGATAATATACGTTATATGTTTCTTCCAGTCAGTAGTTGGGAGAATGAGTCATCTGGTTGTTTAGTTACCTTACTCGCTGATACATTCTTTCTGAAATTAATTACAAAAAGTCAAACACTATTTTCTAATTCAATAAAAGAAAGACTTAAATGCTTCTAAAATTTTTTTTTATTTGCTTAAATATGTATAGTTAACCAATAAATTTATGGGTCAACTAAATCAATAAGTAAAAGATACTATAATACTAAGTACAAAAACCAATATATTTTGATTTGTATAGAAATCCCATTATCTTAAATCTAAACCTACCTTAATAAGACGATTTGTTATCCGGCATTAATATTTTCAACCAGAGCAAATTTAAGTAAAGACGTTGGTGTTCACAAAGACTGATTGATTGACAATAAAACTTTGGTTATTAAAGTTGATTTCTTACGGCAGGATGGATTACATATGACATTTACTAGAACCAACCTAGTTCGAAAGACAAAGGATTGAAATGATTTCATAAGGTATTCGCTATTGAGCTACTTTTTACCCTCAAACAAGTCAATTACAGTTAGATGCCATTAATGTATGACAAAGAAAAGGATACCCATCTCTATCCGTCCGGTCTAAATAAAATTTTCGGGAGTTCACTGGTTCCAATTAACAGCTGCTCGTTTAAATAAACGTTGATCAATTGTTGCAGGACGAATTCGACAGCCAAAGAAACCTCAGTTTCCCGATAAATAGTCGCGGCCAAGACGGTTTTCAATTGCCGGTACCGTTTCCGTTTCCTCACCCCGCGGCCGCCTTTTTACCGCCCATGGCCCCCCAACCTCAGGCTCCGTCGTCTGGCAGCTCCCATTCGTCTGAGGGCAGCGCATCTTCGCAGCACACCTGGTCGTTCGAAGAGCAATTCAAACAGGTGCGTCAGGTAAGATCTTAGCTCAGTTTTCAAGTACGCGCACGAATCGTCGCGATGACGTCGGCAAGATAAGCACTATCTCTAAGAAAGTTCGGAAGCTGCAAAACAGAGATCGAGATTTTCGGTTTGCCGACATCGCGTTGGTAGGTAGTTTAAGGCAGCTAGATAAGGAGTGAGTATGGTGCCATGAGAGAGCGAGTTTTAACTCCTTAAATTTTTAAGATGGTAAAGTTTTATTGTTTTTATTACCATTATTATTATAATGCTTGATATGTATTCATATATTTGGAAAAAGTTTTTGCTTTAAGCCTTTGCATTCATCCGTTGTTTTTTCGTCGTTTCTCTAAAATCCTCTTCACCTGTTTCATCAAAATTACAAGGTTGTGGTAAAGAAACACTGACTCAAAAGTTTTTGTCTTTGGATACGCCCAAATGAATATTATCTTCAGAAAAATCCACAAGTTCTTAATTTGCTTGTATTTTCAACATATAATTTATTATTGTGATCTAGGATAGCAAGAAATACCGAGATAAATACTAACTACATCATATGAAGGGACATAATTTCTTTAAATGTACATGGAGTTACCTCACGCCCATTATCTTGATAGAAATAAATAAACGCTCTAAATTTAAAAGTGCTAAATCGTCACTTCAAGTAAAAATCATTTCCTGGCAAGAAATAATTTCTTGACTGAAGGATATCTGTTTTTTGACTTAATGCAGTTCCATTGCATTATATTCTATTTGCGGAAATGCAGCATAGATACAATATAGATAAGTCTTGTGTTTGTTTAGTAGCATTATTATTGTTATAATTTGGAAAAAGTTTTTGCGTTAAGGATTGTCATTCATTGGATATTCTTTTTGCGTCGTCGATGGTTCAAGTCGAGGAGTCTCCGATATTGATTTTTCAATGAAACTTCCACTACTGGTTACTGTAATACTATTTATAAATCTACTGGATTTCTCGTGCGTCGGTTGTTGATAAGTCGAACTTGCTGACGTTTCGCCAATCAACCTGTTGGCTTCCTCGGAGCTTAACTGAAACTGGTTTGCGTTTTACTCGGTTCCTGCTCCATTAGTTTTGCCTCTCGCAAACAGTATATAAGTAGGTATACAGAGTAGAATGCAAACCAGTTTCACATATTACTATATTACTATAATAAACCATGCATAAATAGTTTTGTGAAAACGATATCCCGATATCTTATTTCTAATCTAAAATATCGAAGAAAGAAAATTAAATTTTCATAAAATTTTAAAATGTTTGCTTGCTTTTTACAAATAAAAAATTTAATTAAATTAAAGATATAGACTTAACAACCTAATTAAAATTGTTAAACGACGTATAGGAGTCCCATTAAAAAAAATCACAGCTTTACGTTATACACCACTAAAGCCGGCATCGTATGGGAACATTTTTTATTAATGAATTTAAGCAAATTTTCATCCTAGAAATAGTTTGTGCATCAAAAATAAACAATAACTCAATTTACCAAAATTTTTAAACATCAATATAAAAGTATTAGGTTATGTATGAAAATATTGAAAAATTTTATTGGAAAAAGTTTTTGCTTTTTCAGTTTTCTACAGATTTTCCGATTTATCGGCCAAACATGATTTCTTTGAAGCTTTTAAAAATTTTTTATGGTACATCCTAATTTAAAAAATTATAATGAAACTGTCGTTTAATAGAAGAGTCCCTTCCATTAAGCGAGTAGTTCGTCAGTATCCTTCTCTACGCCGCCTTATCCAATGGTACGCTTTGTATTTTTGATTCACGCTTTTACAAATAACTCGACCGAAAAATGATTTACTTGCAAATTAATTTTTACATTCGAAAACAAATTAGGCACGTAGGGTGTCGCATACGTTATTATACGGGGAACTGCGACCGCAGTCGTAGCCAGACACGACCGACATGAATTACAACTACGTAGGAGTTATTATATTTTAATATCAAGTTCGTAATATACGTCCCGAAGATGTACAAGTTACATTTGGATGTATAAATTTACCGACTCTTTAATTCAATCGCATGAATAAAACACAATATAATGCACACACCGAATACCCACCGCTGTCAAAAATTATACGGCTCCCAAAAATTTATAATTTCATATATATACCCCCGAACCTACGCTCGGGCGGTCGAGGTTTCTCGTGATAATAACTCTAGAGACGATTTTTGCATTTGCCTGACTGACGACCGTTTTATCTTTTTGGTAAAGCTTATGTGACCATTTTTTTCTTCTGCTTCTGTATTTTTTTTATCGAAATTGTTGTACTATACTACAATACTATCTAAACTCCATACATCTTAACATCAATTTTACTATGGAATTAGAAAGGTACAATACTCTTCCCTTTCTAGACATTCTTATTAATAGAAAATCAGACTTAACCTTATGCAATTACCTCAATAAATAACCGACTCATACTAATCGATACCTAAATCGATAGCCATCCAGACCAGAAATCTTCTGTGATTAAATTTTTAGTTTTTAGAGCACTATCCCCGTCCGAACCGGAATCTTTTAACCCGGAATTAAAACATATCACCTCATTTCGTCTTTCAAACAATTATAATTATCAAGATATCAAACGTGCTATCAAAAAGTACACTTCACCAGAACTTCCATTTACACAGAGTAAATTGACCCTCCGTTTTCTATGTTGAAAATGTCACTCATCAAACATCTACAATCCACAGGAGTTTTAGGGTAAATCGTGTAGCTTGTGTAAAAAATTATATCGAAGAAACAAGTCGAAAATTATCAACCAGACTAAAAGAACACCATAGATCAGTCAGCCGTCCACGAATATCGACATTAGCAGGTGCTGAACATCAGCACGAAACTAGCAAAATATTTATATCTAGCACTTTCTGCTATCCAAGAAAAATTCGAGAGTCGTTCGAAATCATCATGCTAAGAACATAAACCGCCACACAGCAGCATGTTTGGTGAAACGTCAGCAACACATGAGAAATTCGGTGTACCGGGTGAGTCAACGATAGAGTGAAGTTCGTTATCTCATTGGTTTCAAAACTTTTGAAAAATGGTAAATACAACAGTTGTAAAGATTGTTAGAATGAGCAATTTATTTTATTTTAAAGTGTACAAGGTGTCTCAAAATGCGCGATGAATAAAATGTAAGTTTTTTTTTTAATGGAACATCTTATTTTAAAATTTAAAATTTATTTTTTATTTTGGATTTATATCTATTATATATCTAAAAGTTCAAAATTCTAAATTAATTTGCTCATCATATAAACTTAAATTATGCTATTACTTCTTTTAATTACTAATTTAATCGTTTAAACGCAACGCGGATTTAGATTACCATAGAAACTCCGAACGCGAGCCTACGTCTATCGATTTAATTGCTTTCGGTGGTAGTGTAAACTATTATTTAACGCAGCTGCTGCTATTCGATACAGTTGGATATATAGTATAACATCCTCGTATACGTATGTGAAATTGATGTGCTTGTCATTAACACGGTTATGTAGAAAAAAAATGCGATTTTTATTATGTGCAGCGAAATCTTTTTGCCTTAGCTTTAATGAACCAATTTAGTTCTATATTATCTATACTTATTAAGATAACACCCCGTAATTATTATCAAAATGCAGGATGTTTGGGTTCACACGTTCACACGTCTTGATCCAATGAGTATGACCAAATGAATGTTATTTTTGCGATAGTCACCAAGTGGTTTTGTTGTAATATTAAGAGCAACATAGTTTCACAGTCTTTATCAAAGATTTACAAGTATAAACTAGTTGGCCTGAAGATATTCCATTCCTTTGGTCCAAGAATCGCAATCTTTTTAAAAGTACTTAAAGTTACTTATCTCAATGATATAATCTTGATAAAAAAGTACTGTATTTAATTTCTTGAGTCAAGTATTTAGTGCCTTAGGTAAGATATGGTGTTATACCTATGTTCACATGTTCATATAAAAAAACAAGTTCTTTTGGGTTGATAAGAATTGAAATTTGAAACACCATGTATACCGTCATTTTTTTGGCATGTGCAGGATGATTGGCGAAACGTTAGCTAGTTCGACTCACGCAGCAAGAATCCAGAAGTTTTATTAAAAGTATTACAGTAGCCTGTGAAAGTTTCGTAGAAAAATTAACAGTTTTTTATTTTTTACAATTACTGTTCTTTGTTTTGCTTATAGTCAAACGGTACATAATTCCTAGAATTAATTTACAATTTGCGTCAAAAAATGCATCTACTCTGAATTTGGGCTTTCTTTTGCACCTTTTATGAAAAACTTTTCTCAGAGTTGGTTTCGGAGTTGATTAAATTTGAAAAAACTCACTCAAGAATAAGAGTCTTTAGCAGAGCTGCCGTAGGTCGGTCGGAAATACCTCAAATCAAATCTCAAAAACTAAAGGAAGATTAGTTAGAAAGAACGAAATTTTTGAGTCCAATTGAGCGAAAAATCTAGCAGAATAAAATGTGGAGTTCATTACTAAAATTAGTTTTCAAAGAAAATCTGCAGGAAATAAAATTATTTTAAAAAATGTAGGTATACAAATATATTTGACCGCTCTTAAAGTTTCCGAGACTCTCAGGCTGTGCATTTCTCTTTTGAATTTTGTGCAAAATAAAGAAAAATATAAGGAAGATATAAGAAAAATATCTTAAAAATGACTTTTGGTCTTTTATATTTCAGTATCCTTCATTTCAGGCCTAAAGGTACTGAATATATCACTGGACAAAAAAGAGTGAAAGATCCAAAAATTGGTCTCTCACAGCAATCTGGTTTAGGCGTCATTGCGAGAATTGATATATTTTAAGAGTTCTTGCTATTATTTGGCCACATTGTTGGTGAAAAATAAACAAATTTATCAAAACTTTATTTGACTAATTCTTTCACCTTTCACCCATTACGGCATTTTCATTCTAAATTTTCAATTGATTTGATTGAAAATTTCATGACTATCTAAGTCAAATAATTCAATTTTTACAAAAACTTTCTTTTGTTTC